TTGCATGTATGAGGCCCCGGGTTCAATCCCCGGCATCTCCACTTTTTTACAGTCGCTGATTAAATGTCACATTCCCTCTTTGTCTGTTTGTCAGAGCGCCACCTTATTGCCAAATATAACACCGCACTCTCACACACACACACACACACACACTGTTACTTTTTACAGTCGCTGACTAAATGTTAAGGTCTGAAGCTGTGACAGAATATGGGCTGAAGGTTGGACTACATTATCTGTATACATGATTATCTCCTAACAAGATTTATTTCTTGCATTATTTATAAAAAATACCAATGTAACAGGTAATAATAACTTCCCGCCACGCTGAGCCCATTATGAAAATACTGCTGTGTTTCTGACAGCAGAAACAAGTAGGACTGGATTTTTCAATAAAGATGCAGAACGGTTTAAAACCCGTGTTTGTGACCAACCTCAGACGCTTTTATTTTGAAGGTTAGTGGCGGAAACCGGAAATCATTTTGTCTCTTCTTTCTCCTATGAAACCGGCCGTCTGGCATTGTGATAATATATCGATTGTAGATCCTATTACTGTTTCTGCATTTTCTATAATGACGTCGTTTTCTTTTGTGTATTTGCCACCGATGTAAAGAAAAACATACTGGTTCCACTGGGGCTCGAACCCAGGACCTTCTGCGTGTAAAGCAGACGTGATAACCGCTACACTATGGAACCAACTGCCCAACCCTGCACACAAACCTTCCCATATTCTTATAGTAATATATATGTACAGTGGCGTAAATCAATAGATCAATGGGTTATAAAGTGGTTTTGTGACGCGGCATCTGAATACCTAATTAACATAATTCACATCACAAAGAAACGTCACCAACTAGTATGAGGCTGATTGCACCAGGACATGCGCACTGTGCAGTACTGCGGTACCTGGAGGGAGTCGTTCAGGTGTTCACGTCCATCCAAGAAGTGGAGGTGTTGCAGTGGGCGGGGCATTAGGATGAGAGGTGAGCACTGTAACCTGCAGCTGCCATTCAACACACAGCAGCCCAGAGAGGAGAGGAGGCGTCGCTCTGCAGGTACCTGTCTGTTCTCTATTAATTACACAATGCAATAGCAGTTACTGTATTAATCCAAATATTCCTATAACCTGTGTAATACCTCCATCTGACACTGTTTTTACTTTAATTTCCTTTTTGTCCTCTTCTTACCCACCTTTAATATGACTTTCATTTCCTTAGCTTACATCAGCTGTTGAATATTTTATGTCACAGGTATAATTTTGATTTATTTAATGTTCTAAAAACAGTCCTGTGTACGAATATATATTTTATTTAACCATTATTTAGTTAGTTTATCTAACTGAGTCACAGAGTCTGATTTACTGTACAATATAGAAGTTATCTGAATATAAACAAATGTCATTAAAAGAGAACAGAGAGGCAGCAGCACTATAGGGTCTTTTTTTTTTATCAGACTTGGTTTAATTTTCTATTTTAAGTGACAAAAATAATCTTAAATTAAAAAACGTTTAAAAACGCTAAAATCAGACTGAAGTTTGGTGCAGATTCACAGTCGGAGAAAACAGGTTTCTGCTTGCATTTTATTCAGGAACTCAATATAAATTAAATGTTTAACCCTAACAGTTTGTGAATTTTTATTTTTTTTAAATAATGGCGAAAACATATTTGATGATGTAATTTGTCAACAGGAAAACAAATAATTCAACAAATAAGGGAATGAAGTTTCCAACATTAAACAGGTGATTTGGTTTAACTGAGCCAAACACTCACAAATGAAAATGCCTGTAAAAAAAAAAGACTTACTGTTCAAAATGCTCCAAAACAGCCTGAGGGTTTATTTCCTCGTCAGATAAAATCTGATCAGTTATTGTTAGCGCAGCTAAAAGGCACAAAAAGTTGCTTCTTACATTTAAACAGGAAGTTTCCTGGTCAGGAATCAATAAAAGAAGGAAGTGATGGAATGAAAGAGTGCAGTGTTTGTACATCTCTGAACACATTTTCTTTCTGTGTACTGAAGCTGGACAGATGTGTCATGTGACACGGCGCCCACGCTAACAGTCGCTGTCGCTCATTTCCAAGTCAAATATGAGCGAAATAAACAAATGAGCTGCAGTTTACCAAACATTAAAATACATTGATCTTTACAGCAGAAAACCCACAACGTGTCTGCTCACAGCAGTGTGTGAGAGGACGAGAACGAGGACGCCTGTAATCAGGTTTTATAGATGTAAGTCTGTCACTAATGTCTCATCTCACTGACCAGACTCCATTTACAAAACCAGTATTTTTACTTTTAATTTGTGTCAACTATAAATCCACCTGAAGACTGAGTAGATATTTTGTGGCGGTCTGTCCTCTCCAGCTGTGTCTGTCCGACACGATGACTTCCTGTCAGGAGTTCGAGGTGATGGTCCACACCTCACCTGGTCCCACCTGTGGAACCTTCAGCCACCTGTGGCTCACTCTGATTGGCTCGGAGGGGGAGACTCCGTGCGTCAGCGTGAACGAGGGCGAGCGTCATCTCCTGCCCGGATCGGTGAGTTTAATTATGTTTCCACGAACAACAACAAACACCTCCTAATCAATAACGTTAATGTTCGGCCAAACGATAAAGCACAATGATGCTGGTTAAAATCTGAATTCTTAGCGTGGAGATCAACAACAACGTCTGGTCACCGTACTCTTTTCAGATAAATTCTATTTGGTTTCAGATTCAAATGCTGGTGTGTTCATTGTGTCTAGTGCAGCTGACGATCATTGATGAGAAACTGACTGAGATTGTTTGGTGAACTGTGGTCGACCAGTTTCTCTATTTAAAGCTGTATTTTAGCAACGTATAGTCTAAGTCACCTGAACCCAGTCTGAAACCTCTCGTCTGTAGTGGAAGGAACTCAGTGTGTCTGCCTCTTCCTCTGTCCGGACAGTCGTGTGCGGTTCGGGTCCAGGTCAACGGGCTTCTGGGTTGTCTGGTTCTGATCCGGCTTCATCTGGAGCCGCGGACCGGTTTTCCCGATTTGGACTGGCACTGCAGCCGGGTGGAGGTTCGTAGAATGGCCGAGGAGGGACGGCAAGGTGGGACAACGCCTGAGGAACCAGAAGTTCAGGTGTTCCTGTGCGACAGGTGGCTGCAGACAGCAGATGGTGACGTGGAGCTGCGGAGTGGAAAGTGTAAGATAACGAGATCCTGTGGGATTTTTCTTTTGTTCTACATAATAAACATAGTGAGCTAACGTTATCCAGCTCACCAATAGAGTAAAAGATCGAACAAACTATTTACATATTTACAAACTATCCTGATATCGTTTGACCTTCTGAGAGAAGGTCAAACGAGCCTCACATGGCCCAAGAGGAGAGGTAGAGACCCGGATGTGAATGAATTACAATATAATATAATTTGTTGCTTGTAGCTTTTTGGAAATAAAGTTGCTGAGTGAGTCTAAAATGTTGTCAAATCTTGCGAGAAAGTCGTCAAATAGAAGCGTGTGACGTAGCGTTGAGCTTGTGCAGATACCACATACTCACATTTTTCGTATTTGAATGGCAAATAAACGTAATAATGTAATTTCTCTACTGTCCCAGAACTGTCCCGCTCTGTGTCTTTGTGTCTTTTATTGTCCCCGGAACAACAGGTCATCCTTCATTTCGCTGCCAATCACTCGCTGTCATAAATTCAAAAACATGTTTTCCATTGGTCATGTTGTTCACACTGAGCTTTAAATATGCAGTTTGTTTGATTTTAGCTCTCACAGAGGAGGTGAGGAGATGTTATTCTTGTTATTGTTAATATTATATATTATATTATAATCTCCTATTATTCCTCCACAGTGTGTTTGCTGAAGGACGAGACAGAAGAGAAACTGAAACAGCACAGACTCAGACAGCTGCAACACCAACAGAAGATCATCAGGTAAACACGTTTGCTGTCTTTGGAAATGTCAGGATCTCGATTACGGTAACACTTTCAAAATAAAGCTTCCTGAGGTCACAGAAGATTGTACGTTTCATACTGACTTCTCACGTGATTTATGAGCTCAGTAAACAGTTTCCTGATGAGTTTCTGGTCTCAGTCTCTAGTTTTAGTCTTCTGCATGATGTTCAT